CATGTCCAAGAATCAAGATCAACATCAGACGAAATCTAAGAAACAAAAGGTAGGTCAGTCGTCTACAGTGCTGCTCCGACAGAAATATGACAACAACCGCGTCCACGTGTGTAATTGTGTTCCAAATGCGTTCTAAACGTGTTCCAATTGCGTTCTAAACGTGTTCCAAATGCGTTCTAAACGTGTTCCAATTGCGTTCTAAACGTGTTCCAAATGCGTTCTAAACATGTTCCAATTGCGTTCTAAACGTGTTCCAATTGCGTTCTAAACGTGTTCCAATTGCGTTCTAAACGTGTTCCAATTGCGTTCTAAACGTGTTCCAATTGCGTTCTAAACGTGTTCCAAATGCGTTCTAAACGTGTTCCAATTGCGTTCTAAACGTGTTCCAATTGCGTTCTAAACGTGTTCCAAATGCGTTCTAAACGTGTTCCAATTGCGTTCTAAACGTGTTCCAATTGCGTTCTAAACGTGTTCCAAATGCGTTCTAAACGTGTGCCAAATGCGTTCTAAACGTGTTCCAATTGCGTTCTAAACGTGTTCCAATTGCGTTCTAAACGTGTTCCAAATGCGTTCTAAACGTGTTCCAATTGCGTTCTAAACGTGTTCCAATTGCGTTCTAAACGTGTTCCAAATGCGTTCTAAACGTGTTCCAATTGCGTTCTAAACGTGTTCCAATTGCGTTCTAAACGTGTTCCAAATGCGTTCTAAACGTGTTCCAAATGCGTTCTAAACGTGTTCCAATTGCGTTCTAAACGTGTTCCAATTGCGTTCTAAACGTGTTCCAAATGCGTTCTAAACGTGTTCCAATTGCGTTCTGAACGTGTTCCAATTGCGATTCCAATCTAACTGAAACGCTTGATGGGATCAGTGTTAAACAATGAGTCAGTTTCCTCAAACATTTCTTACAAATCCTTCAAAACTTACCCATGCAAAATTCCTACTGTGATCACAGAAACTGGTGTAAACCAGGCTTTATAAAGATATTGGGTTGATACTGTCATCCCATGAACAAGGCCCACTGTAAATTAGCGTGGAACCACGTTTGAAGTTCAGTTTTGAACCGTATTAATTTTTTTCATCTAGAAATACGGCAGTCGTAGTGAACAACAGAACCATCATCTACCACAGCTTCACATGCACCCATCATCAACCAATGAACCACAACATTCACCAGCACCTGACCACAAACTTGGTATGTATTACTTACAGTACAATGGTATCACCTTGGTGTATATACATGAACTTGCGGTGAGAGCTTGAAAACTGGCATCTGTAGCCAGTGACGTAACGGAGGA